CGGCCGGAGCTGGTCGTAACCCGAAAAGTTCGTTAGTAGAGGCGTTCGTATCCCAAGGTACCACTGTAATGCTTAGAGATGGATACCTGCACTTGGTGCAGAAATACATATTTGTTTCAGTACTTGGAATAATATGTAGCAAAGTTTTATTATCTGATGTCTCTTGTCTTTCTAGTGCATTTGCACAGTATAACTTGGACCAGTTTACTCCAGTTAAAATAGAAGGCTATGACGAACAGGTATGTTTAAAAATATTTAAGTTTGAAAGTAGCAGTATGTTTTAATTAAGCAGTTTTTAATAATAAATGTAAATTATAGATCACGTTTTTGGTTAATTACGGAGTATTCAGAGGTGTCTAAAGAATCTGGTCTGCAGCTGATTGTCTGAATAAATCAGTAGTTTTGGTGCTACAGCATTAACTGCATTGTGTTTGTTTTATAGCCATTCTAATCTGATTTTATTAATTAATCACCATTATTGAGAACCCTTTTTTCTCCACACATTGCAACAGAGACATTCATAGGTATAGAACTGCAAAAGATTGTATCAGGTAAATGGAGAGAAACTGGAAGGGAAAAAAAGGCATCAGGATGGTTTTAGCTAATCACATTATTGATTTAATCATCCATTCCTTTTGGTGGAGGAGTTCTATGAAAATAAAATAAATACTAATTTGATATTATGAATTTTGTATTTCAAGCTTCATATTCTCCTATATATGTGATGGATATTGTACTTAAAAAGTGTTGATGTAGACTATAATATCAGATATGGATAAATAGTACTATGATTAAAAGTAGAGATATTATTTTAGAAATGCCCTTTTTGACAACTTTCTTTGCAGGTTTTAATAACAGAGCATGGTGATTTGGGCAATGGAAAATTTTTGGATCCAAAAAACAAGATTGCTTTTAAATTTGATCATTTACGAAAGGAGGCTACAGATCCAAAGCCTCACGATGTTGAAAATGCAATTGAGTCATGGCGAAACTCCATAGAAACAGCAATGAGAGCATATGTGAAGGAACACTATCCAAATGGTGTCTGCACAGTAAGTATCACAGTCTGGAAAATGCTTGGATTAAAACTATTCTTTAGGTTGTATAATTGAAGTCTTTATTTCTGCTTTAATTCATGTGGGATTATGGATACGGGACTAATATTCACCCACAGTTATAATCTAGTCATCTTTTTATCAAGAAATGTCTGAAGGTAGGAATTTTGATAACCAACCAAGACAATACTAAAAGGAAAAAAACCACTCACAGGACATTCTTTTTCAACATAGTGCTCATTTACAGCAGACACTGGGATGCCCTATTAGTGTAATTATGGGTGTATATGAAATGGAAAATACGTTTTCACACACTGTGGCTCTTAAGTTGCCCAAACCATTACAGGATGTGTTGTGGTGCCCAAAACCAAACCAAAAACTGGATCATTTTTATTGTTCTGAGTTTTAGCTGAGACAGAGTTCAGAAGAATTTTACAGTGTAAGCACAGAAAGGTTGGTGTACCTTGCCCTACTTTTGTGTCTTCTTCTGTATGGCCTGTGCGCCAACCTGCCCACTGATTTCCTTACCTCCCCTTAGGTACTGTTACATACCAGCCACCCTATTCATCCCTCTTCCCTAATCTTTCCAGTATCTTCCCTCTTGTCTCCCCTTAGCTGCCATGTGTTACCATCTTTTATCCACTGTCTCCCACCCTGGAACACCTCTGCCCAGAACATGTGTTTTGGTCCCTACATGGACTACATGAACTTGGCTGTTTGTGCAGAGAATGTTTTATGCATCTCTAATATAATTGGTGAAAAATACACAAAGAATTCAACTGGATAAGGCTAAGATCTTTTCTATTTTGATAAGTATTTTGTTTCTCCAATGTTGATGCCTGTTGTAAGGCCACATACAGAATATCTCATAAGTACTTTCCTACTTTGGTCTACTAATAACTAGTATTTAATGGTACATTGTGTTCACTAATAGAGATAATCTATAATCATGATAAGTAGCCAGTGGCTGCATTTAGCCATAATGGTAACCAAGAGTTTTACCCATATGTAAGTAGTTCATCATAATGCCAAATCATAATGAGTAACATCTAGTGTTATATTACTGCACTGTGTAATAGGTGAATCCAGCCATTGATGACTTTACTGTAAGTGAATTTGTATGATTCTGTTTAAGTTACAATCAGGCACGCAGTTCATGTGAAAAGTACTTCCTTTTGTCTTTCACTATAGAATACAAACTGAATCATTCCCATTTTCTCAGAAGCAATGTTTAGGTGCAAATTCAGTGAAAATGTGTAGGCCTCTATTCCCAACTTTGTCATTCTATATATTATGATTTATCAGACAAAATTATTGTGATTGTGGCTATTCAGTATTTGGACAGGTCCATAAATGTACTGTAAATTAGCAATATGTTTTTAATGCAAAACAAATGTCATTGTCTGAAGTTTTGTATATGATTAAAGAATGGAGAAAGTAAATACCTAAGGTTTGAAAGTTAACATTTTTCCCTACTTGTGATTAAGGTATATGGAAAAACTATTGATGGACATCAAACAATTATTGTATGCATTGAAAGTCATCAGTTTCAAGCAAAAAACTTTTGGTAAGTATAAACTGAATTATTTGGAAATAAGTTCCAAAGAAAGTTTTATTGACATTTTGATTTCAGCATGTTTAATATTTAGAACATAATTCATCTTGGGTAATATCAATTGTTATATATGTTGTGTTTCAGTTATGGCACAATACTTTCCCTTCCACTAACTCCCCCATAGGTACCTTGCGAAACTTGCTGTAAAGGTCTTCAGTCCTCCAGAGCAAATTTTGGGGGAATGGCAAAAGCCTCAGAGGGAGATGGATATCATTAAATTGCTCCAAGATAATTTATCTGGCAGATTTTGAATACAACTCTATTCATATTTCACAAAACACTTTTTAATGTGAAAAAAGTTATACCTAATATACGTGTGTGTGTAGAAATCTTGTCACAAATATATGCAAATTGTTTATAGACAAAGTTTTTACTACTTTTAGTTCAAACACAATTTAAAGATGTTGAAGATTAGAAAAATCCTTTGGATAGCTAAAGCAGGATTCCTTGAAATGCATCCTCTTTTATAAAGCACTTTGTTGTTTTAAGATTTAAGACATAGTTCTCAGTCTCTTCATTTTTTTGCTTTTATGGATTTGTTTTCTTTAAGGAATGGTCGTTGGCGATCAGAATGGAAATTTACAATAACACCTTCAACCACCCAGGTAGCTGGTATCTTAAAAATTCAGGTATGGCTTCCCTAATCTTCCAAAATAAACTCAAAAGCCTAGTAATATCCCATACAATTTTCAAGGATTATTTATTTATGTAGATTTTTAAAGGAGGTTATCCTACATTTTTTATTGGGATTGCATATCCATATATAATATATTATGCTTAAATTATATTCTCCATAAAAGTGTATAAAATTCAATAAAATAGTGTTAAATGTTTTCTCTAAAAAGCCAATGTAAAAAAAAAAAATAGTATTTCTGTGACAGTCTGGTCCTAGTGTTATTTTAGCCAGCCAGTTTATCTTAATTCACAGGAACATGGTAATTTTTAAAATGTTTGGGTCTTAAGATAATTAAACCTTTCTTGATTATCTCTTTTGAAATCTAACTAACCTCTTCTATTTATTTTATCTTTCTGTCGATAGTTTATTGATTATTTTTACGACCATATCAAATAAAATAAAGGCAAAGTACAAGGTTTATTTCCAGGATAAAATAGGTAAAAGAAAACACAATAATAAAATATGTGCTCAATACAAAGAATCAACATTCAAATAAATACATCGCCTTGATATGATACCCCAATCTGTTCAGTATAATGGAATCTTAGCTGAACTGTCTGTCTGGCCAATTGTCAAAGCACTGGCCATGTACAACACAAGTGATTCCTTTAGTTCTTTTAGATCCAGAGACAACACACTAGCAGGTGAGGCGATTTTAAGCCTTATAGTTAACTCCAACATATCTAAACAGAAATAACAAAAGCATAATTTAAAAGCATAACATGCCATGATAAAACTCTTCCCCTACTGTCAGGAGCTACCATAAGGCAACAGTGGAGAGACCCCAAGATGGCTTAGATAACACAGCTCCTGGTACCTAGGTCTGTGTCCACACTCCAAGGGCAACGCCAGGGCTTTTTATCAAAGTCTGGCACTTCAATCACATGACTCTGTTTCCATGGAATTGGGCTGTGAGAGTGACCTTAACCAGATAGTTCTCAGGATCTAAGGTAGTGCTTAACCTAAACAATCCTGAGGGTTTCCTTCCCCCCTACTTCTAAGTAAAAGTGAAAAACAAGCCAGCTAAGCGTTATTATGACTCAGAGTGAACTTTCTTAACATGTCAAAACATGGCACCTAAACTCCTTGAAATAACAATGGTCTTATGTGCTGCCACTACACTACCTTGCCTAGAAACTTAGTAGTTCTACTAATAATGTGTATGTTAGAGCCCAGGAAGAAATAGAACAATCTGCAGTTCAGGACCCAGTTCTTTCAAGTAGGGATTTTAAATGTCTAAGTCTAAAAGGAGCATACAGTTGATAGTCAAACAAAATAAGAGCAATATCTTCCATGGCTGGGACACCACATGTCCACTCGTGATGTGACAAGTGATGGAACTGCCCATATTTGGCCATGGAATCCAACAATTCAAATCTTGCTCTAGGATACCCTTTTAGGAATTGCATCAAACTCATTGACAGGTATTTTTTGGTTTGGAAAGTGGTTTTGTTCTTAGCCAACCAATTTAAAAATCTAGTTTTTGCAATAACTCCATGTCTGTTTGAGCACTGATATCTAGGACTCTTTAAAAATCTCCTTTGCCTGGGAGGCAGTTGAGAATAAATATTGGGTGGAAAACCCATGCTATAAAATAACTCTAGTAAGTTAGCTTACCCAGGAGGTGGGCTGAGCCATACTTATTTGTTCAGCTAAAGATATTTTGGGTACCTAACCTCTTTTCATAATCCCCACCTATCAAAACAAACTAAAGATAAACTGAGCTAGTGCCATATAGTGATTAATGTATTGAACCTACTGCAGAGAGACATTAGTTCAAGTCTTCCCTCAGGCACAGAAGATCACTGTGCAACTTTGGGCCACTTTCTCTCAGCCCAATTTACCTCACAGGGTTAATTTATGGGGAAAAATGGGAGAAGGGAGCAGTTTGTACACCACTTTGACATCTTAAAGGAAAGACAAGATATACTTTTAATTAATAAAAATAAGATCTGGAACAATATAAGTAAATTTAAATTTGCAATGAGTTGTATGCAGATATGCTCTATTAAGTATAAAAAGTATTGGAATCTTTGACATCTGAATCATATCTCAATCTGCTAAGGACTATTGCTTATTTTGGAAGGCGTATAATATCGCTAATATACACTGCCAATATCTTGTTTATAGTGATTTTGTATTATGAACGTTTTGTACATAGGTTCATTATTATGAAGATGGAAATGTTCAGCTAGTGAGTCATAAAGACATACAGGATTCTCTAACAGTGACTGTAAGTATCTTTTCTTGTGCGTTGTTATAGGAACATTGCATATTTTCATATTTTGTATTGTAAAAGAAGTTGCAGTTATTTTCTCTATGTCAGCTAACGGTTAATATGCACTTTCATCATTAGCACTCTTCAGACAATACGTTTGCTAATAAAACTGAACATATAAGCAGCAGTAAGCAACTTCTCCCCTCTTCAGGTAGTCTTCCTGAAGTTACTGAAGAACCAGTCTCCACGCATGGACATAGTGTGTGTTTGTGGGCAAGATGGGGCACATGATAAAACATGTCATAATGTCACTCCCTTACTTGTGTCTGATGCTGACATACAAATATGAAAGTATGAAAATTACGTTGTCACATATGCATGTAACATTTTTGTCATTGTGACTTACAAAATACACTTATGTCCCCAGTACAGCACAGTTGTCTTCAGAGGGAATAGTCACATATAGGTAGAAAAAGCATTTAGATCTCTTTACATAATTGACTTTATTAATAGAAATTGACAGAGGTAATACTTAGATCTAGAAAGCTGAACATGTTTGTATTTTCTGAATCTTTTTATCAAACTTTAGTACAGACTATTAGTGCTTAAAGCATTATTTGTAAGTATAATTCATAGTAATGAAATGTTTGAAGCTTTTTTTAATATCAGAGATTCCAAATTCATATTCTACATCATTCTGAAAGCCTATTTTATTCAATGAGGTTTTTTTAAATAAACAGCTGCTGTTCCAGAAATAAAAATAGAAACTAGATCTGTGGCTTTCTGGCTCTTAGTTGTTGAAAGTGTGAAGCAACAAACATTTTAGACAAGAATTTATTTTGAAGAGATTAAACAGAAGAAGAAATGAAAGTTTTCATGTTAACTTCATTTTTAGGCAAGACTAAGCAATAAAAATTACTTCCGTCATTTGACTGAACTGAGTCCTCCATTTGCTCTAGACAGAGAGCTATGAGAAAAGGGGGAAGTTAGTGAAATCTATACTTTCTGGAACATTAAAGTTATGACTCATAGCTGCCTTGTATTTTTTATCAGTCTTTTTTTTCTGTGTGTGCCTTCAAGTCAATGTTGACTCCTGGCAACTGCCTGGAGAAATCCCTGCAGTTTTCTTTGCAAGATTTTGGAAGTGCTTTGCCATTGACTGCTTCCTAGGGCTGAGAGGGAATGACTGCTGGCTTTGTACCTAAGGTGGAACTAGAACTCATGGTCTCCCAGTTTCTAGCCTGTACCTTAACCACTAGACTGTAATCCTTATTTATTTATTTTATCAAACATATATACTACCATAACCCTGTAGACTCTGGACAATATAGACATAAAATAAAAGTAAAGATGAGTCAATAAAACATCCACCATAATAAATAATTTAATCATAAACCTGGCAGCCTCTTCCCTATTCCCCAAAAGCTTTCCCAAAACAATTAGATATTGTCTAGTTTTTGGTTCATCAAGGCCTTGAGGGCATAATTTTCCCTGGAGCAGGGACCATCATCCCAAACCATTGCTTCTTCTCCCTTTGTCTCTCAAAAGCAGTGGACTTTCAGGAGCTTTTCTTGTTAGGAGGATACTGAGTGGGTCCGTTCGTCTTAAAAGAAGCTGAAGTTATTTGGGGGCGCAGCCATATACAGCTTATGTGGTTACCAGCACTCAAAATTGCACTTGGAAACCTATTGGAAGCCAATTCAGGATCAGTAGCACAATTGTTACATGCCTGTTGTGGCTTGCCAGCAGCCAAGCAACTGCATTTTATACCAGCTAGTTTGTTTAAAAGTACTCCATATAAAGCACATTGCAGTACAGATAGTCCTCATTCAGTGACCACTTGTTCAGTGACCATTCAAAGTTACAACAGCGCTGAACAAGGGAACTTACGACTGTTACTCGTAGTTGCGGCTGTCATAGTGTCCCTGTGGTCACGTGACCACGATTCAGGTACCTGGCAGCTGGCTTGTGATTGCAGCAGTTCCAGCACCAAAGTCAACAGGGAAGCTGGCAGGAGGTTGCAAATGGCAATCACATGACCATGGGATGCTGCAACCATGCGGGATTCACCTAATGATGGCCTCTGGAACTGCCACAACTGCTGTCATGAGTTGGCGCGGTCACATGATGTCACGCTTTACGACTGCATTGGTTAGCGACAGGGCTGCTGATCCCAATTGCCATTGTTAAGTGAGGCCTATCTGTTGTGATAAAACTTGTTACTCTGAATGGTTAATGGTATTATTTTGTGGCTATTCTTTTCTACATTTCTTACATCATCCTGTAGATACAAAGTGCAAAATCACACTCTTGCTTGAAATACAGTGGAAGTAAGGTCTAAATATCTGATTTGCTTCAAATTGTATTTTCTTTTGTGGCAAGCTAAACATAAGTGAGTAATATAAGGGTAAGTAAGGTTAGTGTGCATATTAGGAAATAATATATACTCAGGTAGATGTGAATATGTATCATACAACCTAGATCTTTAATGAAACAATATTCAACAAGAGAAGTGACAAACTCCTGATAAAAGTTTTCATGTTAAAATACATTGGGACCTCACTTGTCTTAGAGCTGCTGTTCATCCCTCTTTGGTGAAGTTCTCTGTTATAAATTATAGATACTTCCTGATGGGAAGATTTGCAGGACCTATTGCAGGACCCATAAGATGGGTATAAGTTATAGAAGAACAAATGAGTTGCAGGTTTTCCATGTCATATTGAAGTGATCAGTTGCCAGGAAAAATCTAATCTTAGTTGCCATTATACCAGATTCACATAGAAATACTTATTTTAAAGATATTTTAAAGGTATTTTAAAGATAGCACCAATGCAGTATTGATAAAATGTCACATTTTAAACAGCTACCTTCCGCCTGCAATTTGTGTATTATATCTGAAATGACATTTGATCTTATACTTATAGTTATCTATTTATGATAAATTTAATATAATAACAATTGTCTCTTATAGAATGAAGCCCAAACAGCAAAGGAATTTGTAAAGATTGTAGAGGCTGCAGAAAATGAATACCAGGTATCTTATAAGACTACAACATGTTACTTCAACTATTGTTCTGAATCTTACTGGGCAACTTTTTTGTTATTCCTTCTATATTATGTGTTCAAAATAAGGGGAAAATGACTCTTAAATTCAAAATGATCGCAATACACAGAGAGGGTAAAATTTACCAAGCATATATTTAGTGACACAAAAGTATAAAAATCATATGTGCAACCATTTTCTCAGCATTTGAGTGCAGATTTTCAGGATGTGATCACAGACACATAACATTTGGCAGGCCATTCACTTAAAGTAATTTAATTTAATTTAATTTTTGTTGTTTTTTTTAGTATTTATGTATAGGGTTGTTTTTATAGTCTGATTTTAATTGATTAATTAATTTTAACTATTTATATGGTATCATTTTTTAATGGCTGATTAATTAATTTTAACTATTTATATGGTATCATTTTTTAATGGCTGATTAATTAATTTTAACTATTTATATGGTATCATTTTTTAATGGCTGATTAATTAATTTTAACTATTTATATGGTATCATTTTTTAATGGCTGATTAATTAATTTTAACTATTTATATGGTATCATTTTTTAATGGCTCTTGGGTCTTTGGTTTTAATTGTGAGCCGCCCAGAGTCACCTGTTGGGTCACCTGCGGCATACAAGTTTAATAAAATAAATAAATAAAGTAATCATGGTTATTGGGGAACCCTGTTTCAGCAGAATCGTTACAATACATGGCAGATAAACCTATTCAGTCCAAACATCAATCTTCTGTAGTTTGCTTAACTCTCCTTTCCCTGACTGTTACGTGATATTAATTTAGTCTTGAGTTCTTAATCTTAACAGATGCTGGGAAAAGGATGTTTCATCTTGTGAAAGCACCGTTGATATTTAACCTTACAAGTTATAATATATTTATAATTATATTTATAAATTTATATTTCTAAGTTATAAACCCTAATGTTTTTCCAGTGAGGTAGAATACAGAGGTACTGTGTTTACTTCTATTTATTGTTGTTAAACTATGTTAAGGTTTGATTATATCATGTTTCTGTTTAATCTTACAATATCAAGTATGTTTTTCTAATAAAAGACATGAGAAAAGTTTTAGAAGATGATACAGTATACTGTTGGAAATGTGTTGCTTTATATTAACAAGTTGTTCATTCTTTAATAAATATTTTCTTCCTTTTTTGCTATAGACCGCTATCAGTGAAAATTATCAAACAATGTCGGACACTACTTTCAAGGCCTTGCGTCGACAACTGCCAGTTACTCGTACAAAGATTGACTGGAACAAGATACTGAGCTATAAGATTGGCAAGGAAATGCAGAATGCTTAAAATGAAGGTGGCAAATATGAATAATTTTGTCCTTCTGTACAAAGTAAAGTTATTGAAAAGGTATTCAGAATTGTGAAGTCACCAAATCACCATGGCCATTTGCCACTGAAAATAACTGTAAGTAGTTTGGTTAGAACATAAGGCTTAGCTAACTTACTGTTTTTATTTGTCCATTTGTTTCTCCTGCAGAAAGTTATTAAAAAATCAGTGTAGCTGAAATGTTGAGAACTTCTGATATATTAGATTTTTATAATGACATGCCTATAGTTTTCAGTTAAATTAAACAATTTGAAAAAAAATATTTTTGCATAAGATTATCCCATGTTGCTTGCTTTCATGCAAAAGGACAGCTTGTCAAACACAATTCCTTTGAAAATATTGTTTCTGGACATCATGGATTTTAGCCATGTGTATTGCAGAAATATTCTGCCCCTCCACTGTTTGAAAGCTGGAGAAAAGCATTTCTATATCCAATCCTATTCAGTTATTTAAATAGCTTGGTGTTAATTTTTTTTTTTTTTAAGTCAAGGTCTAATGCTGTTTTTAAGACGTTGAAATTAAACTTTAGTGCTTATTTTCAAAATGCATTTAATGTTCTGTTTCTGACAGCAACTCACATGAGTTTGGATTCTATCAGTCATCAAGTTATTTTTACCATACAGCCATAATTGTATTATAGCAAGGCATATTGTAATATATATGTAATCCTATACTCATTATGTGTCTGTCAGTTTTTTTTCTTCAATTGAAATGTACTAAAATTCAGTGTGAATTAAACATGCAAATTTTCTATTTAGTTATGATTCATTATCATTTCAAAAATATATATTGTAACACATTTAAGAATGAATCAACTTATTAAACATAAAAAGAAGCAGGAGCAGGAAATAAAAATAATCAGTCATAAACCTCCAAACCAGGTACAATGAAGTTAGGTATTGGTTAGACCCTTCTGCAGCCTGGACCCTCTTTCATGAAAGAAGGATGCAGCCAGCACACAAAAGGAAGTCCTTGCTGCAGCAGTGTGAAAAAAAGGCCCAGCCAGTACAGCAATAGTGTGTAGTATGGTGGGGGCAGTGGCAGCAGGCAGGGCCAGGCAGTGGGGGCAGCTGGCAGCGGGTAGGCGAGCAGTCAAAAGGACAGAGATGGGGGGAGATAGGTGTATGGGGGTGTTGAAGTGGAGGCAGTCCCTTACCTTCTTCCAAGAATGGCTTGGATCCAGGTGGGTCCTCACCTAAAGTGTGAGATTCACTCAGTGATAGCAACTGGGATTGCTGGAACTGCCGTTGCTAAGCAAAGCAGTTGTGATGTTTCACTTAATGACTGTGTTGCTTAGCAGTGGAGTTGGCAGTCCCAGTTAGAGTCATTAAGTGAAGACTCTCTGTAAACTGCTTCAAGTTCTTAATTGTTGCTGGAGGAGAAAATTAAAGTTTCCATTTCATATTTACAGCTATAGGAGTAAATTAGTGAAGTAAAGGAAAGGATGAGGAAATGTTAACATATCACAATATAATGGTAAGATAATGCAAGTTATTTGCTTCACTTACCATTATAATAATGGTTATTTCTGTTTTGCTATTTGAACTATAAGAAGATTATCAGAAAAATCAAATGTTTCTCCAGAGGCTGCTACATCTGCCACATCTATATTTTTTCAGAATACCAGTTCCTTTTTTACAGCTCATCTTTATATTGCATATAAGTCTATTTGGACCTCTTAAGAAGCAAAAGTATGATACTGCAGTAATAACATTATTGCACCCTCTTCATGCTCTATTTTTCCAGGCACATTCCTTTATGAGAAGGTTACAAAATACAGCTTTCTTTCCATACCACATTAGGTACAAGTGGAAAAAATAGCAAGGAATTAGATTTAAAATTATGATTCCTATTAAGCTGTGCTTTCTAAAAATCACAATGTCCCTCAAAAGCTGATATATTTTATAGTTTTGCAGATGTGGTAAAATAAAAAGTTCAGAATAAAAGTTTTTAAAAACTTGGTAAAGAGTGGCTCTTACATTAGGCTCAAGAAGTCTACCTTTGTTAATAAAATATTGAGCATACATGGAAGACTTAATTAGATCTTCTTACATTCTTTGATGATACCATATCCACTCACACCAGTATATCTAGTAGATACCAAATTTCAATTGGAAAACTACAGATACTGTGAGAGAAATCATAGTCCTTCGGTGTGAATGTCAGTTATATAAGCGGAGGAAGCTGGTACTTCCATTAGGAAAATCATTAATTTCTGCATTAAATAGCTCTGTGAAATCTATGAAGCAAGCTAAAAGCAGGAAGTTGTATATGGAAGATTTTTAAGTGGTGCATGGTATTTTTTTTGTACAATTCTATTTTACAGAACAATATTTCACAATTATCATTAGAACTGTAATAAATAATGAAATTTCCTAATAGAAGAGATATAAATTATCCTATTGTATTATCCTTAAAAAATATTTTGTTAACATTTAAAATATTCAAGTTTCAAAAAGTAGAATATTGTTTGATGTATCTATCCTAAGCATAGAAAAAAAATCCAAACAACTTGCACAGAACTTCTGTCCAATAAATTTATAGTTTATTTGCCAGGTGAGCATAGAATGTTTCTTGCTTTTTCTGTTGTCTGTCACAGGTGTTACTGAAAGATTGACGGGGTGCTACATCATGGATATTATGTCATTCTCTTTCTTATTCTTAAAAAGATCCTGAATGGGATTTAATGCTTCTGAAAACATATTAATGTTTTAGCTACATTAGTTACCATAGCCACCGCAATCCTGATGAGGCTTCTTTATTTGTAATAATTGAATGATAAAATAAAGATGGTAATGCTTTTGCCATATATTTCATGCCTTAATCAAGAGTTTTGCTAGACTACTACATAGAATGTGGTGGTCATCAGGCTGTTAATTGAGTCTATTTGAGTGTATTACACCAGTTCTGCAATTACACTGATCTCAATTAATTTTGGAGCTCCAAAACTAAATGTTTATATGGTCTTGACCCATATACAACTATCTGTTGATATAAGCCTACCCATTTCATAACATGGTGTCTGGTGCATAGAGCTGTCCAGAGACATACACTGTACTTCCTCCCATCTTTTAGGTAGCTGCTGTAGGCAGTGTTTTCCTGCTTGCTTTAGGATTACTACTCACATTAGGAAGGAATGTCTACAGTGCATTCGGAAAGTATTCAGACCCCCTTCACTTTTTTCAATTTTGTTATGTTGC